ATCACTCCCTGCTTTCCCCAATGAATTTGTTAATCAAATACACAGGTCATTAAATGCACATGATATATCTCAAGAGTGGGGAAGAGCATGCCGGGGCCTAGTGCTGGAACAGGCCATCCAACTCCTCCCCCAATCCACTGAGATACCTCATGCCCCCCTAGGGCCCCACAATTGCTTTCCACCCCCATCCTGCCCTGCTGGGTCCCCACAGACTTGGTTCTCATGAGACTGTTTCTTGTTATTGTCTGGAATGCACATTCCAATCTTTTCTTCCCTTCCCCCTGGTCAGTTGGCAAGCTGCGGGGCAATGAAAACGAAAGCGGTTTAAATACTTAGAAGCTTGATAACTGCATGCTCAGATAAATTGGTGGAACTTAATTGGTTTCCGCCCTGTTTCCTAGTGAAAATTAAACTTGTAACTTTTAATTTAAACAACTAAAAATGTCTTTTAGTATTTCAGATTTCAATAAAACACTTCAACGGCTAAGTCAGGTAAGTAATCTATAACATAATATTATAATTATATGTACAGATGTAAATATCTTTTTGGTTACAGTTACTCCTCAACTTACAATCAGAAGTGACTCCAAAATTTCTGTTGCCAAGAGAGTCAGTTGTTAAGTAAACTTTGCCCCATTTTATGACCTTTCTTACCACAGTTAAATGAATCACTGAATCTGGCTTCCCATTGACTTTGCTTGTCAGGGCACAAAATGTGATCACATGATCCTGGGACACTGCAACTGTTGAGTCCTGATCGGGGACTCACCATACCAGGAGTGAGGCACGGAGCTACTACAACTGGGGCCGGCTACGGAACTGCTACATGGCTGCGGAGATTGTGGCGGTGGCAACAGCAGCAAAACACTTCAGAACAGAGCCAGCCTGTCGCCCATCTACAGCCCGTTCCTCTTTTCATGATAGGTGCCAGCAGGCAACAGGGTGCGTGGCTGGTGCAAAGAAGGGGCAGCATCAGGACTTCTGGCGGCAGAGCAACACAGCTGCCCATCAGTTGTTCGCCCCTGCAGCCGCACATGCGTCTCCAGTCATGCAGCCCAGGACTTTGCACCAGGCCAATGGCCTGGCCACGCCACTGTGACTGGATGCTAGCCACAGCTGGCTAGATGCTGGGTGGCCAGCAGGTGTGGTAGGCTGGTCAGTAGGCATGGTTTTGGACTATAAAGTGCACTGGGAGGTGGGAGTTGACTTTGCATGGAACTATGTTATACAGGAGAATGAAACAGCTGGCTGAGAGCCAGCAGGGCCCAGAGGCCAGTAATGCATCGTGGCCATCAGGGGAGTGGTGGTTTGCGGCTAAGGATGTCTACCCCCTTTATTCTGGGGCCCATTTGATTCAATGGTGGGAGACATCCTAACCCCACACCACCCTACGGATTGTGGAACTGAACTGATACCAGGAGTCAAACTGCCAAAGCTGAAAATATACTCGATGACGCCGAGGGAGATGGGGGAACTCCGATGGTACATTGACAAGAACTTGGCTAGAGGTTTTATTCAACCAGCACAGTTGTGGGTAGCCGCACCAGTGCTGTTTAGACAAAAGAAAGACGGGACCCTATGCTTAAACATTGCCAAAGCTGAAAATGTACTCGATGAGGCTGAGTGACATGGGGGAACTCCGATGGTACATTGACAAGAACTTGGCTAGAGGTTTTATCAAACCAGCACAGTCGTGGGTAGCTGCACCGGTGCTGTTTAGGGAAAAGGAAGACGGGACCCTATGCTTAATCATTGACTTCCGCGACATCAATAGTGTGTGTGTGGACCATATGTACCCCTTGCCACTCATGAAGGAAATGCTCACCCATTTGGCGAAGGGGCATTTTTCTACTAAGTTGGATCTGTGAGAGTCTTATTATCGAATACTCATTAAACCAGGGGACAAGTGGAAGACCGTGTTAGGGGCCCCAACTGTATTCATGCAGCTCATTAACAATGTATTATACGAATACCTGTACCCAGGGGTCCTTGTGTATCTCGACGACATACTCAATTACACCACCACTATGGAGGAACATGCAAGGCTGGTGAGCCAAGTGCTAAAGAAATTGCTTGCGTCGCAATTATATGTGAAACTATCCAAGTGTGAGTTTCACCACCTGTCTGGACTATCTGGACTACTGCACATCCAGCACCGGATCCCCATAAAGTTGAAGCCGTGTTGGAGTGGCAGGCACCAAAAACGCGCAGACACCTGCAAAGTTTCCTTGGCTTTGCCAATTTTTATTGGCACTTTATTCCATCATTTGTCAAAGTGGCATTACCATTGACTGATTTACTCTGCATTAAGCATATGCTAACAAAGCCTCGCCTAGGATAACCACTCTAGTGGACGATGGATTGCCTTTGAAGCACTAAAAACATTTCTTGCTGAAACACCCCAACCCTGTGCAACCGTTTATCATTCAGGCTGATGACAGTGATGTGACTGTGAGAGCCGTCCTGTTACAAAGAAACAGGCAAGGCCAGCTGCAGCCATTTGGATATACATCACGGAAGCTTGTGGCTGGACAATTTGGGAGAAGGAGGCCTTTGTGCTGCTCTGAGTGTTGATGACATGGCAGCATCTTTTGGAGGGGGCCATGGATCCATTTGAGGTCTGGACAGACCACAAAAACCTTGACGCACTTCAGATGCTACAGCAGTTGTCCCCAAAGCAGATCTGGTGGGCACAGTACTTCCAATGATTCAGTTTTCAACTGAAGTATATCCCAGCAGGTAAGAACTTCCTGGTGGATGCACTGTCATGAATGCTGCAATATAACAATCGCAGAGTGGAAGTAATCATACCTCCCTCCCAACAAGCAGCCCAGGTGACTGTCAGAGCCCCGATGGATGACTTGACAGATGAGTTATGGACTGCACTGTTAATAGACACATGGCTTCAGGAGAACCAACAACTAGTCACCCAAAGAGACAGTGTTGCATAGGAAGGCAGCAAAATGTATGTGCCACTCACTATGAATGTCAGCAGTGTCATGACACCAAATAAGCCAGCCATTTTGGTTTCCTAAAAACCCTACACCTTACCAGGCGACAGTTCTGGTGGCCACAAATGAAGGCAGAAATAGAGAGCTACATCAAAAGCTGCCTGGTCTGTGCAGCTACAAAACAGTGGCCAGGAAAACTACTTGGCCTCTTACAGGCCATGGCTGACCCTTCCCAGCCATGGGAGATTGGCATGGACTTCATTGTTAACCTGGCAGAGAGTAATGGACACACATTGATATGGGCAATCATTGACCTCTTTTCCAAGCAAGCCCATTTCGGGCCATGTTCTGGGTTGCCCTCAGCACAAAAGCTGTCAAAGCTGTTTATTGAACATGTGTACCATCTTCATGGGGTTCCACAACGCATCATATTGAACACGGGGGTGCAGTTTACTGCTTGGTTCTGGCAAGACTTCGTCTGCTTGATTGGGTCCTCCCAAGGCCTCAGCATAGTGTTCCACCCCAGCACAAACGGGGCATTCAAACGAACAAATGCCATGGGGGAGAAACATCTGCGGTGCTATGTCACCTACCATCAGAAGAACTGGGCGGACCTCCTTCCTTTGCAGAGGTAGCCTACAACAATGCACTGCACAGCAGTACTGGATTCACCCTGTATCGGGTTGTTCATGGGATGGAGTTTGTATCCATTCCTGAGTGGCCCCAAGACCCTCCATTCCCTAGTCACCTGAGCAAGTGGGCGGATAAGGTACCGGAAGTGTGGGAGGATGTAAAGATGGCACCGCGGAAGGCGTCCGAAATCCATAAGGCCTAAGCTGACAAAAAATGGACATCAAATAATCTGTTCCAGGTGGGGGACCAGGTGTACCGCTCCACTAAATACCTCAGATTAAAAGTGCTGTGCAAGAAACTAGGCCCAAAGTATCTAGGTCTTTCCCGATTATACGGGTGATCAACCCTGTCATCGTGGAACTGAATCTTCCACCTTTTCTTGTGAAGGTTCACCCTGTGTTTCATAGCAGCTTCCTGAAACCCATAGAGGAGGGTGACATCCAGGCCCTTCCCCAGCTGTCGGGCCCTGTAGGGGAGGACAGATATGAAATAGACCAGGTCCTAGACTCATGACCATAGGCGAAAACTTCAGTACCTTGTACAGTGGAAGGGGTATTTAGCCACTAACGCCTCATGGGTGGCTGAGCGGGATGTGCAAGCCCTGTGCCTGCTTGCCAGGTTCCACAGGCACTATCCTGACAAGCCGGGGGGTGGGAATGCATGTCAAAGTGCTGTGCCTAACCCATCTGTCTCCTTTCTTCCAGGTGCGGTCCTGGTAGAGGGGAGCCGCCTGTCGGGGCCCGCGCAGTCTCTCGCCATACGTGGGGTGGGGGGTGGGGAGCAGAGCTGCTACAAGCGGAACCAGCTATGGAACTGCTACACA